GGGGGCACTGCGTGGGTTTGGGTTCAAGTGTTGAAGTGCAAGTACATAGTCTCCCACTGCAACCGGCGGGATACTGGGTACTTGAACTTGGACATCAGGGGCGTGGGGGTTGGGCGGGGGTTGGGTGGGGCCTGGATGCTATGAATCCCCCGCGGCCGCGGTCACCGCGGGCATGACCGCGGACTGCGGTCGTGACCGCGGGCCCGCTGTCATGACCGGTCCACGGTCCATGAAAAAAAAAAAAAAAAAAAAAAAGAATTCAGAAAAATCTGAAAAAAATATATGTTATGCCAAACAATAAACTGAACAACTTTTGCCTTGGGGTCATATCCAAACTCTTACCAAATTTGAGATAAAAAATAAACAAACTCCTTCATTTTTCTTACTAAAATAATAAAGTGAAGAACTTTTGCCTGAGGGATTTTTGTTTTTCATTTTTTAAAAGTCCGAAACGAAGTCAAAAAATAACCGCACTCGGTCGGGGTTTTCCGACCGCACTCGGTCGCGGGCGGTCGGCCCCTGCGGTCGAGGTCATGACCGCATGCGGTAAAATGACCCGCGGTCATGACCGCGGGTGATACATAGCCTGGATGGGGGTGCGTGTGGCAGAGCAGAGGCAGGCATCAATTTCATTCGTGAGGCTGGTGAAATAACACATTGATTAGCATATCATCCATATTTGGATACCAAATTTAGAACACATTCACAATGAGGGCAACCATAACATGCATGTGTGTGGCATCAGACAAAGATACAATTTGCAACATTGCGACAACAATTTCCGCTCTGTGCGGGACATTTAAGGCAATAAAACACTCACCGAACAACAACGACTCACATGCAATAGCGAGTGTGGAAGAGGAGCGTGTAGAAGAACAAGACAATGTTAAAAAAAACTCCACTCCAAATGCATATGTACGTGTCTGAAGCCAAAAACCAGACCCGTCAACGTCAACCACACGTGACACACGGTACCTCACAAAAAAAACTAAGGCGATCGTGCCATCCGTCCCTGTGGAAACTACCCTATGAAAACAGCGTCATGTACAAAACTATGATACAACCTCGAGCAACAACATCAACATCAATATGAAACTACCCTGCCAAAACGTCGTCCTGTAAAAAAAAAAACAAATAAAAACGGCACTAACACCTCCCTCTCCCTGCGGAAGGTCCAGATCCTCTGCCTCCGGAAGGACGCACGCGGCCTCTCCCGGTGGGTTGTCGACCACACGCTCCTCTCAGGCCCCCTCCACCACTTGTACCCTGCGCACCGCTGATGTATGTCGCCTGTGCTACCGCGGCTGTCCACGTCCGCTCTATGTCTGCGGACTGCACTGTCGATCGGCTCGGACTCTGTGTCCACGTCCTCGTCCTCGGCCTCCTCTGCAGCAATCGTCTGTCGTTGCCTCTGAATCGCGTCCAATGCAGCCTGGCCGGCGGCGAGCTCTACTGCGAGTCGAGCCTCAACCTCCGTGATGGCGCTCTATCGTCTACTCCCACTCCGCATCAGCAACCCCTCCTCGCCAGATGTGTAGTGCTGACCCTGCTGCATGTCCGCAGCTGTCCCTCGGGCCGGAATCGGCGGTGGGATCAAAACTCTCCTCGTCGCTGATCGAGACAAACCGAGCATGCGGCCTGCCATGTGAACACTCGGATGTCGGGAGCCACCCTCGCTGCTGGCCGCAACCTGAAACCGAGGTGACAAACGTCCTGCGAAGGCGCCCCTCCTAGGGTCGTAATCCTCCCTCATCCGGTCCGAGACCCGGCGATGAGCTGCCCATCCACCGGCAACACCACCTGCGACAGGCGGCGGGGAACCGGCAACAGGCGCACGGGCGGTAGTCGCGTCGGCGCCGCCCTCCGTGCTCCGTGCGGGTGGCGGAGGCATCGATCCGGCAGATCCGCCTCTGTCACTGCGGCGGCCCGACCCGCCATCAACCGGCCCGGACTCCCTCCCTCTAATGCCGCTGAGCGAAGAACCTGACCATCTAGGGCTATCCACGGTGTACGGCGGAGGCGAATACGCCCCTCTAGGAGGCCGCCTCTCGTCGCTCCTGCGACCCGTGTGGGGGAAAGGGTTATGTCAACCGAGTCGCGCCAAATCCTCGGCATCAAAACCAGCCTGAGCGAAGGCCTTGGGCCGTGTGAGAGGTAGTGTAGGCACAGACGGGTCCCTCAAGACCAAAGCCAGCCTACCCTTATCGTCGTGGTCGCCATCGTGGTCGCCGTCATGGTCGCTGTCGTGGTCGCCGTCGTCACCGTCGTCGCCGTGGTCGTCGTCGTAGTCGTTGTCGTCGCCGTGGTCGTCTCCGTGGTCGGACCCCTTCTCGTCCTCGTCCTCGTCCTCGCCGTCACCATCTCCCTCAACACATGTGGGTACACCATCTCCCTCAACACCCGTGGGCACACCCTGTCGGGCCGCCCCCCCATCAGTCTCCCCACCAAAACCCACGTCGCCTCCGTCACCGCCGCCACCCCTCCCTGTCTCCAACTCCCTCCGTCGGCGCTGCTCCTCCATATACGCAAAACAACCATCCCATCCCGGCAAAGTCCGCAGCCGCTCCTCCTCCTCTCTGTCCAGTCGGGCATCCCGCTTCTCCTCGGTCTCTACATGGCCCCGCACATCAGAATCGTCGAGGAGCACGTCCGAGAGCGAGGCACCCCTCTGTCTCGGGGCACAGAGATCCCCCAAACCCCCGCCAGAGCCGCCGACGTAGAAGTCGTCGGTGCGCAGCTCGGACGGCGAGCGGTGATGGACACCGGCGCCGGATGGAGTCCTCTCCATCTCCGGAATGTCCCCAAGCCCGTTCCCCTCATGGTGCTCAGTCGCTGGTGTCTGCTGTCTCTCCGCTGCCGATGCTGACCTTGTCCTCGGCCAGGTAGGCTCGGGAGCTCGCGTGGTCCGATGATGAGAGGGAGAGAACCGACGATCCCGAAGGCGTGCCTCCTCCTCCTCCTCCACCCCCTCCGGCTCGTTGTCGCTCCTGACCTCCCAACGTCTGCCCGTCTGCCGAAGGCCTCCGACTGGCTCCTGCTCCTCCACGTGCTCGTCGGCACGCGGTCGTCGTCGACGACGACCACCGGCTCTGCCGGTGCCACTGGCCTGACCACCGAACGGCACATCGTCAGTGATGACGGATGTGTGTGGAGTCATGACGTCAGGTCCTCCACCGTACGTGAAATAGACCCGCTCCGCCGTCGCATCGCCGCTGACGGGAGCGTCGTCATCGTTCGTCCACTCGTCGTCCGACGTCTTCCCGTCCGACGTCTCCCCGTTCGCATCAGCGTCCGACGCCTGCTTCGGCCACGGCCGTAGCTCCACCGCCCTCTTGCCGAACACGTCCTGAACCGGGTCGGCTCTAGACGGTCGACAAGCATGGAAAGCGACTACCTCGCGCTCGATGTCGCGCTCGCTGAAACTGCCAGCAGGTCGCGCTCCCCACACCTCGGGGTCCACGTCCCCCTCGTCGTCCTCCTGCCCTCCCGCGGTCTCCTCCTGACCGGTCCCCATAACCCAGGTCAACACGTAGCCACTACCCTGTTGTGCGCATCCGGCCAGTTTGAGATTGGTGGCAATCTCAACCAGCTGTGCAAGCTTGGCAAAGTCAAGTTTGTGGCGCCTCGCCGTGTTGATGCGCTCGTGCTGCGCCCAGTTCCTCTCCGCAGGAGAGGCGGACGTCCCCAAGTGCATCACACGGATGGCGATGGTGCGCAACTCAGGGTGATGACGTCCGTGATCAAACCACCATTGGGCACAACGCTCAGTCTCGCGTTCCCCCCGACAGTCGTCGGCCTCGGCATCGGACAACAGCCCATCTCCCCAATCTCCCCACCGCGAGTGGAAATGCCTGATCTGGTCACGGACTGCCCTGTACAGTCTGCCGACCGGATCGCCGCCAGTCTATGCGAGCAGGAATCTGTCGCACCCCTCGACAACACGGGCGTCCTAGGTAGTCGTCTGCAACGACTCATAATATCGGAGGGACCGGCGGCGAGGGTTGAGGAGGTGTGCCGCAGCATGTGCGGTCTCGAGCATGTGGAGGTTGCGGACGGCAACCTCGCGCACGCACGGCTCGACCATGTCCGCCGGCACATCCACCCTCCTCATCAACTCCAGAAGATGCTGACTCCACTCGTAAACGATGGACATCATCATCCCCCCTCTATCCATCCTCCTCAAGAGCTGGTGGATGGGCGACATAAAGCGGATGGCACAGTCAACGCATCGCCAGAACTCGCCGTCGCGGATCTGCTATTGAACCCACTGTGCCTGGGAGACAAGCCTGTGCTCCCACGGGATGCGAGCCCACGTGTCGCCGTGCAGCATGCTCTCTAACGCGTCCCGCCGGCCTTTGAGACACGTCAGCATCAGGAAAACTGATGCAAACCGGGTCTCAACGGGCTCAACCAGCGTGACACGAGGGCTCATCCTCCTGAAAAAGGCGAACGCAGCGCCGTGCGATTTAATAAATCGCACTAACACTTGGGCACGGATGATGGTCTGCTTGACCCATGCCACTCGCGTCCCGACGACTGACAATATCAAGTTGCAGACATGGGTGGAGCAGGGAAGCCAAGTGATCCTCCTGATGTCTGCGTCGGGGTCGGTGGCGAATCTGCGGGCCGCCGCCATATAGTTATTGGTGGAGTCCGTGCAGAAGCCGATCACGTCCTTTGCAGGAAAGGACAAGATGATGGTCCGCCACCTGCGGTACACGATATCCGCAGTGTCGCGGATAGACCCGTCACGTGCGACGGTGCCGTACACTGCAACAGGGCGCAGTTGGCGCCCCCGCCAGGAAGTTCACGAGCGGCTTGCCGCTGCGCGACTTCCTCCCGTCTGAGAGGATGGTGGCACTGGTGTGCCGGAAAGCAGAGTGCACCTCGCTCACCATCGACGCCACCTTCCCCCTCTGCGAAGGGATCCCCGTGCCCGCTGTGACCCTATACGAGGGAAACCGGAACTGAACTGTTCGCGGCACTCTCTCTGCCGCCCGCCGAATTCTCTGGAACTCCGGACCTTGGAAGGCGTTGAATGCCAACCCCTTCGCGTAGATCCACTGCAGCCACGCGTCATGGAACTCGGCCAACTTCCCCTTGTCGTACATCTCGTCGATCCTCGTCTGCCGAGCCCTCTTCTCCCTGGCCGGCTCTCGCACCTCGACGTTGCCCTCCCCCACCGGCCTCTTCTCCCTCCTCGCGCGCTCCAACTCAGATCGTGGTGCCCTAGCAGCAGGACCCGCTCGACCGACGCCTCTCGACGTCATCACCACCTCCTCCCCTGGCAGGCCAGGGTCTCCGACTGCCTCGTCAGCCTTCCCCCCCTCCCCAACCCCACCCTCGAGACCCTCCTCCTCCTCCTCATCGAGGGCGTCCTAAACATCATCCCTCTCTCCCTCGTCCATCCGCTGTCGCTGCCCACCCGTAGCCGCTCTCGTGTCCCGTACCCCCTCGTTAGCCATCCACCTCTGCACACGCCAAGCAGTCGCGGGCTTGAATGTGTAGTTTGTGTCGCTCCATAATTCCGCGAGAACTCTCATCCCCGCAGACTTGCGGAACTTGGCCTGCGTGAAATGGCGCGCGGCCTTCCCCGCATTCCCTTGAAACAAGTGGCCACAAAAGTTGCAACGCAACTTTCGGTCCCCATGCATCTTCGCCTGGTTCCCCATATGCTGTCCCGTGGTAACGAAGTTCCAAACCACGTTCCCCTGCCTCAACTTCGCCATCTCCCTCTCCGACTGCGCGATGAACCCCCCACCCGCAGACCCCCCCGTATTGCTGGTCACCGCACCCCCCGTCATCGTCCCCTGACTCAAAGCGTCGCAGTTGTCATATCGTCCTTCGATGCCGTCCTTCCCGGCGCTCCCTCGATGAATGGCCCCGACGCCGCTTCAACCTCCGCGGGCCCAGATGTTGCACCTCCCCTCGGGCCTACCGGACCCGGCCGTTGTCCGCTCTTCCAGGCCGTTTGAGCACCCGGCCGCAATTGGCCGCAATTGGCCGCAATCGACTGCAATCGTCCGCGATCGGCCACGATCGGCCGCGGCCGGGCACGAAAATCGCCGCGCGGCGATGGTGGCCACCCTCGACCTCGCGCTGGGCGATGGCAGCGCAGCTGCGGCGGCCTCCTGCGATCATGCGGCCCGGGCCCGTGCAAAGAAGAAAAAGAAGAAGAAGAAGAAGAAGAAGAAGAAGAAGAAGAAGAAGAAGAAGAAGAAGAAGAAGAAGAAGAAGAAGAAGAAGAGGGGGAAGATCTCTCTCTCTCTCTCTCTCTCTCTCTCTCTCTCTCTCTCTCACACACACACCATAGCGATATCTTCAGCGCAGCAGGTAGTAACCCAATCTTGTATCAATCATCTCTCTCTCTCTCTCTCTCTCTCTCTCTCTCTCTCTCTCTC